ATATATATATACATATATATTGAAAGCTCCAGAACAGCCACTAATGAAACTTGTGGTGAGATTGTTTCTAATATCAACAATGAACTTTCAGTCTGGTTGTTTATACTGTCACAATGTCAGTGTGTCGCTGGTTTTCCAGTTCATGTTATATTACCACACTAATGCAGGCTACCATTATCTAAACTGCAGCCTCTAAATGATAATAAAGTTGAATCAACACCTCTTCAAAATAGTTTAAATAAAAAATGACTATTATAACCTTTATAACTAGTTTATTCGAGGAACGTATTAGACTGTATTAGTTTTAGCTTTAGTTTTCCTAATAAACTTGGAACTTAGTGTATTATCGTAGTTGAGAAATGAAGACGAAAGTACAATCATTTTGTAGGAAATGGGGAGTATCTTTTGTGTCAGTTTTGTATTTAAAGCTATTTGTGGAGTGTTTCCTTCACCTGAACTTACTTATTACATGTTGACAGCGGATGCAGCTGTCGTCTTTGAGTACTTAATCACCATTTACTTGGATGAACAGGAATTTGCTTCAGAAAGATAACACAAAGAGGTTACTCTTTGCTCCTGTCTTCTGTCTCTCTTTCTTTCTCTCTGTCTGGAGTCTGCATCTCTATGGCCCTGTGAGTTTTCCCAGCATGCTTTTCTCACGCTGTAATGTCACACCTGAGTATAAGGTGACTCTCTGGAGCCTGGGGCTTTGAGGTCATCTTTACACCACTGTGCCGGGAGGAAAGGTGCACACATGTGTACTTCAACACTAACATAGGTTGCTATGTATGTGTGTGTGTGTATGGGGGTAGTGTGTACATGGACTCTCATGCCAATGAGACAACACTAAACTCCCATTACCACCCACCATATAATGATATTTCACTTTAGTTTCTTCAGTCTGCATCGTGTGCAGGTCTGTTCTACGACAAGAAAAATAATTCTTCAAGAGCAACAGAGTAAAACATGATCCTCAATAAGTAAAACAACACTCCTACAATATGTGTGTGTGTGTGTGTGTGTGACTAAGAGACCTGATGATTACATAATTACAATTAAGTTGTAACGCCTAAGTAATCGCTGTCAAGTACTTCTAAATGAGATTCGTCTTATGACTGACTAACCTGCATGTGTGTGTTATCAAATATGTGTGTGTGTGTGTGTGTGTGTGTGTGAGTGTGTGTGTGAGTGTGTACGTGTACGTACGTGTGTGTGTGTGTGAGCTCCTGCTTTAACCAAACCTCAGGACCTGGTCAGGAGACTGTGACAAGCTTTATCATATTTTTTAGTGCTGGGTGGGGCAGCATCACCAACCGAAAACAACGCAGGCAAGAGTCCCCACGCTGTGTGCAAGGTTTTCACTTTATAGTATGTGTGTATGTGTGTGCGTGTGTGTGAGAGAGAGAGCGAGAAGTTGGCAACGTCACTACATACCTGTGACAGGTGTTGTCGTTTTTATTTTTATCACATGCCATCATGAAATGATGATAATGATTATTCAGGAAACACCGTGCATAGCTTCACACACACACACACACAGACAGGACAGACTTAGTAAACAATTGAGGGTCTGATTTGACACCATCATGTTGTTACTACAGAGCAAAGACTGGCATGAATTACTGCTTCTTCCTTTACAGTCAATAATCATTTAAGCTTAAAACAGCAACAAATATTTCATGATCACAAAAACAATCTAAATAATAATAAAATATGTGAATAAGAAATCAAAAACTGAGATGTCACTCATTGTAGATCTTTATTTTAACCTTCATCAGGCAGGACAGCTGTGCTCGAGGACCTCGGGGAACGTTCAAATATCAATAATGTGCTTGAGGTTGAAACCACACAAGCTTTTTTTTTTTTTAATGAAGTCCTAAAACAGGTTTAGGTGTGAAAAGTACTTCAGAGGGACAGCAAGAGAATAAATCAAGAGATCAACAGTTTTACCCCCTTTCAAAGTAGACAGATGACACAGATCAGTCCAGTGTTTGTACCAATAACTCTCAGGCGTTAAATTTCCAAGACTGTCGTATGCGGGCCGCAAGAAGGAACTGCAGATCAACATGGTGGACTGATGGATATCAGTCATCAAACAGGACAGGCTGACAAACCAGTTATAACTCAGCTGGATGGACAACTTGTGTCAGACAAATTCTACCTGGTCATCATGAGGAGTGGGACACAAGTTCATCTTCTGTATGTGAACTGTGAGATTGGTTAAACACATTTCTAGGGTACAGAAAGTGAAACTGCTGAACTGTATAAAACTATGATTGTGTTGTTGTTTCTGTTTCTTTTCAGCTGGTTGACCAGATGAACTACAGGTGCTTTAATATTAATGACCCTCTGGGCTAAAGGGGATGAATTAAAGATCACATTTGGACTTTTAAGTGTTGTAGGGCCAATGGAAAACTTAATCAGTGTGTTTCAGCAGAAACTAAAGTATATTTAGTCATTGTAATACCAGTGGAAAGCTGATCCTGTTTGCCTACATCTGAGAAATATGTGCGGCTTGTGGGGAATCCCAAGACTCCTTAAAATAGGCGACTTGTTTCCACTAAAAAGGTGCCACCCTAACGTTGAAACGTCCTGGTCAACATGTGCACACACAACCAGCTGTCTTATGCTGCCCCCTACTGACCTGAACTGAACTGAACTGTAATGAACTTGAACGGTATCTGACATTTGTTATCAGTTGCATCACACTTGCAATGATTTTACTGTACAGTGTTTCTCAAATGGGGGTACGTGTAGGCCTAGGGGTACATTGGAGTACTGCAGGGGGTAAATGACATTCAAAGACTTATGCATAATTTCTAAAACAAGTATACAATTAGTTCAGTTAAAATCAGTAAATCTAAGTTCCACAAACCACATTTTATATTCAATATTCCTCATTTAAATGAAATTGTTAACGGCTGTAAACAAGCCAATGTTTCTGCAACTTATTAAAAACATTTAGTTCAATGCTGATGTTTGTCATGAATTTAATGATGGGGAATAAACATTTGAAATGAGGCTTTTGAGTGTTTTGCACTGGTTAGGGGGTACTTGGATGACAGAATATATATTAAATATCAAGAGAGTACAATAATGAAACAAGTTTAAGAACCACTGCTGTAAATGAAAATACAATAAATGGACATATGGCAAAATAACAAATGCTGCTTGGGGAAAATATGAAATAGATACATGATTCATTGTGTGTTAAGACCAATAATAATAAAAACAAACAGGAAAACACAGTAGCTGAAGACTAAAACGGGCTAATTGAAAATGCCTTAATGTTAAAGAAAATGAATAAAGCTTTTGGTTTATTTTCACACTTTTATTTATTGATTATATTTTCGACTAATAATCTATTACTGGCTTGGTTTTGGGGTTTCACATATGATGCAATGCCTGTTTAAGGACTAAGAGATAAGGAAGTAAAGTATTATAAGATAGTCCCCTTAATTGCAGCAACTTGCATCACACTAAGCACACTGGAGCGGGCAGCTGGAAAACGAAAGTAGGATGTTAAGTTTCGTTTTCCGGACTATCAGCTGCTGCGGAGCATAAATACTGAGACGCTGCAGAGACACATCCAGAAGACAAACGTCGTTTCATCTGTACAGATACCAGAAACTCATCAGATATCAAAATCTTCATTTGACAACATGAGCGGATCTACAGGTAAAAAACTAAATGTGTTTTTTGTTTTTGTTTAATGGGTTGCTGTGCTTTTTAATTTGATGCTTTGAAATATTTGTTTTGATCGATTTGTTTTGACGCCATTGCTGCAGCGTCAACATTTCTAGTGTTTATAATTCTTCACATTTACCGCATTTTATACATTTTCGTGTGACGTTGATTCAGGATTGTTGATTCAAATTAATAGAAAAAAGGGTGTGACTAATTTTCAAAAGTCAAACTTGACAAAAATACTTATTTTTGCTCTTTTACAACCTTGTTTTGATCCCTTCCTTATCAGTGCTTTTGTTTTTTATTTCCTCTGCTGCAGAATGGGTTCCTTCCCTGTGGTTGGACACCTTTAATGAGTTGCTGGAAGACAATGAGCTGGATTATGAAGATCAGTGGAGTCTCAACTTCAACTACACCCAGACAGACACAGTTACCAAGGAGGAGAAGAAGAGGGGTTGGAAAGTCTACTGCCACCGTGCATACGCAAAGTATGTATTGTTGCATATTCCCAAACTATAAAGATATAAACATATATAACTGTAACCTTCAGGCAGTAATAGACGTTCAGGTCAAGGTGGATACAACTTTATTGTCGTTGGCTGAATACAGGTCGACTAGTTTCCTCAGATTCCTCATTCCTGTTGTTCAGGCCAGGTCATATGATATGAAGTAATGTTTTGATAAAATAAGATCATGTGTGCAGTGTTAAAACAGTGTCATTATGTGGAAAACCCTGGTACTGCACCCTGGGTAAAGAGGGCAAGTCATCCTGCTGTATAGCAACTCAGAATAGCAACTAGTGGTGGAAGAAATATCCTGCATTCAAACCCCTACTGAAGGAAAAGCATCAAAATATACTTAAAGTACCAAAAGTAATGGTCCATTGTAGAATGATATGTTATATTACTGGATTATACTTGTACATCACTTTAATGTTGCAGCCGGTATAAGGGAGTTTTTATTATTTATTTTTTATTTGACATATAAAACAGATATTTTCCAGTCAAACACTGTATGAGGAATACATATTTATTGGGAAAAAGTTAGAAAAAATACCTTATTTCCATTGTGGTCCCCTTTCCAGTAAAGACAAAGATGGTAACACAAGTCACAGATGACTCAGATACACTGAAATACAATACATCATTCATATGTGGTTAATTTATTTATTATTTATTAGTTATTTTATATTTTGTATTATCTTAATTAAGTAACAAAGGTCATAAAATAAATGCAGTCCCTCCAAACACAGTATCTGCTGACGATTAGTTTTCTGCCGCTGACTCTCGTCTGTCCTCTCGTGTCTCCCACAGTTTCCAGTGTGGATCCTGCAACAAGACCTGGCCTTCAGCACGGGTGGTGGTGTTGTTCCGCTACCGGCTGCGTGGCGACCGGGGGACAGTGATCATGCGTCCCTTTGGACAGTCCTGCCGCAGTTGCCGAGACGACGAGTTTGAACTCCCTGGTTTTTCCAATAAAGTGGTGGAGGAAGCCTTGCTTAGGCTGTTCAGCAAAATCCGGAAGAATTGCTACGGAGATGAGGACGATGATGATGATGGCTCTTCAG